CTGTAACAGTTACTACAGTTGTGAAGCCAAGATAATGTTTGAGTTGATCACTGATCTGAGTAAAAGAAAAAGCGCTCAGATTTAAGACACTCTGCTGCTGTAAAGAGTCATAACAAAAACTGCAGTTCCTCTAAGAGTCTGTGTTGATGGACGTCTGTCCGGTGTCCCAGGGCCTGGCTGAGGGAGATGCTGTCTCTGGTGCGGGGGGAGGCGCTGAGCGTGGAGGGAACCGACCTGGAGCAGCTCATTAAAAAGCACGACGAGTACCGCATTCAGATGGACAGACAGTTCAGCAAATCTCAGGCTGTGAAAGAGGACGGGAGGCGCCTGATAGAGGAGGGACACTTCATGTGGCAGGAGGTAAGACCTATACATCTAAAATCTGACATTCTCTCAGAGTATCGTCCGATAATCAACGCTCACCTGACGTCCCTCCCCAGGTGGAGGAGCGGGTCTGTGAGCTGGAGGAGCTGGAGGAGCGAGTGGAGAAGGTCTGGGAGGAGACCAGGTTCCTGTATGAGGAGGAGCTGGAGATTTTCCTCCTGCAGAGGGAGCTGGAGCAGGCGGAGCGCTGGCTCAGCTCTTACGAAAACACACTGATGGCTGACGAGTACGGGGTAGGTCTAGACCACATTGAGGACTACTGACAGCCAGGAGTCCTCAAGGGGGAACTCGAGAGAGAAAGATACTGTGTGAGCTGAAAGGGACAGGTGCATGCAGGTACAGGAAGTTGGTTATTGTAGTTTTTCTGCTGATTTGACTGCTCACCAACACGGTCAGTAGGTGGCGCTGCAGTAGAGTCATAACTGACTTATATCTGAACACATAGATTCAGCTCACACTTTCTGAGGATTATATCTGATATCCATTGTTATATGTTATGCTGACGAATGTTCCTCTTTCTGCCGGTTCAAAATTGGGCTTGGTCAAAAACTAAAACACGGTGGCTCTTTTGGTTCCTTCCAGGACTCTGTGTCTGATGTTATGGAGCTCCTGAAGAGGCAGGAAGACATGGAGGCCATGATCGAGGCCCAGAGCGACCGCTTCATCGCACTACAGAAGAAGAAAACACAGGTTGGTTTGTAACAGAAACAGGAAGACTGGAGGACGGTTCGTGGACACTGAATGTTTTCTTTGTCTTCTCAGAGGGAGCAAAGACTGGGTCTTCATGGAACTGGGGACAGAAAACCTCCAGCCAGAGTCTCTTCCCTGAGGAGTAAACCCTCCGATCTGAAGACCCCTCGGATCTCCTCCTCCAGGGACGTCGTCCGTCGAGTCAGCAGCGGCAGGAGGACGGACAGGACCATCGGACAGATCGTGCTTGACAGGAAACCCGGTCTCACAGCCTTTGCTAGCAGCCCACTTAGCCCACCTCTGCACCCGGACTCAGACTCAAGGAGGAGCCTCAGTGCCAGCAGGAAGTCTCAGAAAATGGAGGAGGAAGAAGACGCCAACAGTCCTCCTGCTAGTCCCAGCTCCAGCCCGACTGTAAAGCCTTGGAGGAGTCGAAGCACCCACTCAAACTACACTCCAACTGACTCCTCCGGTCCGAAACGTCCTCAATCACCTCCCCCCTCCTCCCCCAAACCTCCCCTGTCCCCTCAAATCTCTCCTTCATCTACAAAGACTCCTGAGGAAGACCGCCCCAGATCCAAACCTCCTCTGGCTCCAAAGCCCAGAATCTCCTCCACAGAGCGAGCGTTCGGACGCCGCTCCGAGCCTCCGAACATATCAGAGAAACCCTCCACACCACCTGACTCCCCTCCACCAATCAGAGAGCTCGTATCTCCCACCGAACCTCCACCTCCACCTGTCGCAGAGAGACCCTCTTCCCCTGAATCGTCACCGAAAGAGCTCCACGACCCGGAATCACCGACCGGAGACCAGCCCGATCCGCCATCCGACTCCCCGGATGCTCCACCAATCACAGAGGAGGACCCTGAGTCATTTGCTCTTCCAAAAGAGGAGCTGCCTCCGTCTCCTCTACAGCAACAGAGGATGTCAGAACCAGAGGAGGAACCCAGCTCCATGTCGGAGGTAGAACCTGTGGCTCAGGTCAGAATGGAGGGTCTGCTGGAGATCAAACTGAAACAAGGAGGAAACAAGGTGAGAAGCTTCAGACAGGACAGGTGTGTTCAGACTGAGTGTGTCCGCGTGAAAAGTCAAAGGAAACAGGAAGTGGAAGTCTGTTTGTTTTGTGCAGGTTGAATATATGAGTGAATATATATATTGAATTTTAAACTTAATGTTCAAGGTTGTTTATTATCATTTCCACATACAGAGTGCACAGGAACGAAATTTCTTCTCTGCCCAAATTTTGCTATAATCAATATAAATACATAAATAAATTAGAATACAACATTTATCAATAAAAGGACAGATTAAGTTAATGTGAACAAAACAATTAGCTGATCTCCACCAATCATTAGCTAGCTGGTTAGCTCCAACATGGCTGCAGGTGCATTGTGGTCACTGGCTGACAGGTGTGTCTCTCTCTGATTGGCTGCTGCTGCAGGAGCACTGGGAGGAGGTGTTTGCTGTGCTGGAAGGAGAGACGCTCAGCCTGTTCACAGACAGAGCCGCTGCTGCACAGGTAGGACAAACACTGCGTCTCTGTAGGTTCACTGTTCACTGCAGACTCATGATGAGTGGTGGAGGGATGAAGCCTCAGGAAACGCTCTCTCTATCTGTGCTGAAGAAGCTTTAACAGTGATTTAAATAGTTTCAGTCTCATATCAGAGCCGTCTGTGTGTATCTGTAACCCTTGTGTTGCAGTAAACTGAGGCTGACACATGTTACAGTAAAACAATGAATGAATGCATCGTCCAAAAAGCCTTGACTGAATTATATGTCTGTAACAGCTTCACTATCATCTTTACTTTTAATAATTCGTGTGTTTAAAGTGATCAATCGACAGTCAGAGAGAGAGAGAGAGAGATAGAGAGAGATCTTCCTGCACAGGTCACACTGTAATAATGTGGTTAATAAAAGGTAGAAACACTGCAGTGTGTGTTTCCACAGAAGACCTCTAGGTGGCCTCCTATCAACACGGTTGGAGCTGTTTGCAGGGAGAACGTTTACTACAGGAGGAAGGAGAACACCATCAAACTGATGTGAGTGAACAGCAACCAGTAAACCTCCTGGTTCATACTGTAAACTGTATCATGAGACTGACACAGACTACAGCCAGAGAGAAAAACACATAATTAGGATTTCTTACTTTCGTAAAAAACTGTGTCACGCCTTCACCATCCTAGAATAGATCTTACAGAACACCACTGAATGATACAAATCAGAGGGTGGGTGAACCCAACCATCAGAGAGGATTTAGAAGAAAAATAAGTCCTTCATATACCTGTGTATCACCTGCACTACACCAGTGATTCCCAACCTCAGGGTCAGGACCCCCACTAGAGGTCGCCAAAGCTTTATAGGGGGTCGCGAGGCCTTTTTTGATTTTAAGGCGTAATAGAAAACTTAAAAAATATCCACAGTCGCTTTATCTTTATCAATTCTTTATCTCAGCATTTGGTTCAGTTCTGTGGGGAAAAGTTAATGTAAAGAAATGTGTTAATTAAATAGTCTAATAGGACAAAACACTGAACTCTTCCAATTTCATCCTATTCAATCTGTTTGATTGTTAAAAATATTATAAATACACAATACAGACAGAGAACTATCAAAAGATCCCTGAACAGGAAATAATCTGCTCAACACCACCGAGTTTACTGTAATGACACTTATTCTTTGTTGTTGACTGTGTGTGTGTTGTGTTTGTGTTTGTGTGTTTGTGTTTGTGTGTTGTGTTTGTGTGTGTGTGTGTGTCAGACTGGAGGACGGCAGTCAGTATCTGTTCGCGGCGTCCAGCAGAGAACTGCAGCAGCTGTGGCTGAAGAAGCTTCAAAACTGCCCCGAATCTTCCAGCAGCGACTCTGAAGACTCAGGGTAAACACACACACACACACACACACACATACACTGACACACACACACACACACACACACACACACACATACACTGACACACACACTGAACACACAAAACACACCACACACACCAGCACGACTGACACCCACACACACACACACACACACACACACACACACCATACAACACACACACACATGACACAAAAAAACACACACACAAATACACTGCACACATCACACCAACCTAAACACACACACACACATACACTGACACCACACCACACATTACTGATACCACACAGCACACACACAGTACACAACACCACTGGACAAAACAACACGACACACACGACACACACAAAACACACAACCCCACACAGTGTTAGTCATCG